GAAATGAAGTGCAAACCTGTCCGCAGTTTCAAATCTTTAAGGTCAACGTACCAAATAGAGAGGTCTGTCCACATGCGCGTTTGTTACAATTTCTCCTCCATTATAGTTAAGTTTTTTCGAAGCTGTGGTAAACACAAAACAATCATCAATCCAAAGAGATTTTGACAACCTCTGACTGTTCTCCTAGAAAAGATCTCATCAAAGAGTTCCAGCAACGCAACTTTAGAAGGACTACCATACAAAATCTCTGTGCGCTATTCTTTTCCTTGCTGGACTTACCTATGACCACAAAAGTATCCTCAACTCCTTTTTCAAGGATTTCTTCGGGAGATGCATTCGCAAATGTATCTTGATTATAATTGAGCACGTAAAAAGAATCTTCACTGGCTCCAGTAAACGTGTTTGGCAGCGATTTCTATTTTTTGAACCATTTGAGCTGATCAAGCAGCAAGCAAAGGTCCACCATCGATAGCAGCTTCGAGGCTGAGGTAATTTGGTCATTTACATGTTTGGCAATGTTATCCATCTAATGTGCGTTTCTGAGAGTCATTCGCAATTTTATAAATGTGATAGATGCTTTTGTGCCAATGTAGTATTCATTCATCTTAGTTCTCAAGGGTTGAAACCAGTTGCTTTTTGTTTTCTTGTTTTCAGTCTAAATACTTCTGTCTTCATTATATTCTGGAAAGAAGCGGGATATACTAGTTAATGAGAAAATTCGTTTGCATCATCCTGAAAAGTTAGAAAAATTACTTGACTCTCGACGATTAGTACAAAGTTGACTCTGCCAGATAGGAAAACCATTTTTGTAACTTTGCCTAGCTGTTCTCTGGCAGGTGTGAGCTTTAGAAAGTGAAGCAGGAGAATAAAATCACTTTAGGTCCGATCACTTTGAGCTAGTTTGCCAAAATCTGCGATAAAGTTCTGGCAATCAGTAATAAAAGACTCTTCAATTGTAGTTTGTATCAAATAAGCATTTTTTTGAAGAGTTATAAAGTTCTCTTAAGCAGCGTTTGGAGAGGAAAGATCAGGAGAATTGTATTACTGCTTCTCCGTTTATGGCTGGTCTTAGGATTTTGGTGACCGAACTAAAATGGTTGAACCCAAAGTGGTTTTTATTCTCCTGCTTTTCTTTCAAAAGCTCACTTGTCAGATCAGAGAGCAGCAGAGTAGATAAAAAGGTTTCTTTCATCTACAAATCGAGCTCGTGTAGTTTTGTCGGGAGGCAAGAATTTATGATTTCTCAAAAGTGGTGCTAACGAAATTTCCAGCTTGCTTCCAGACGATCTTGTGCCGGGCCCTGACCTTAATCTTACAAAAAGCCAAAACCATGCAAACCCAATATTGTTATCGTGATCAGCATTCAAATAC